AGGGTGTCCATGGATACCCAGACCCCGAACGTGATCTACGAGGGCATGGAGACTTGGACCTCGTTGGGTACGGCGATAAGCCAGCAATACACGGGCATCGGGTCGCCCCTGAAGGGGAAGACGTCCGCTGAGATTCTGAGGGGCTACTTCGACCCCCAGGAGGCGGAGGACAACAGCTGGAATCTCACGTGCATCCTGGACACGAAGGCCGAGAAGTCCGTGGTCAAGGTGGAGGCAGGGGACCTCACGGTGGAGAACCCTTTCGACTGGACGACCGACCTCCTGCTGGCCACAGGCACACGCACGCACAGGATCCAGTCCGTCCACGAGGAGTTCGCAGCCCTGAACGTGCCGATGCCCACGGCGACCTCTGTCAAGTGGCAGGGCGACCTCTTCAAGACGCTCAAACAGGTGGCGACCCCCAAGGACAAGGGCATTTCCGCGGCAAGCAGCGCGAGCGGCGTCAAGCGGCCCTCGCCTTCGCCCCCTTCGGGCGCCGGCGTGGCGGAGGCGCTGCGCAGGCGCCTCAACGCCAAGAGCACCGGCGCCAAGGGCAACTGAGCGGCGAGGCTCACTGGGCACCAGCGGCGACAAGCCTGAGCAGTGCCAGACTAGATTTTTTAGTGCGCGACAGAACGCGCATATTGACCCGACGCACGGACTGCGGCAAGAAGCCTGCATTGTTTGCAGCGGCCACAGCCTGAATACACTGCTCGCGCGCCGTCGCGCCGCTGACGCAATGGATCGCACTCTGCCGGGAGCGGCGGAAAAAAAAGCGTCGTCGCGGGGCGCCTCCCTCCCCTGCCCCTCTTCCTGCTCCTTTTCCTTTTCCTGTCCTCTTCCATCCTTCTCCTCCTATCTATTGCGCAAGCGCAATCCCGCCACCGTGCCTTGGTTTTGGGCCTGTGGCCTCTTGTACGTATGTAGGGGTCTCGCGGTATAGGATCCTTGGTGCCTGGGTTTGCGGGTTAGAAGCTACATGCCTCAAGTGGTACTTGGGGCCTCTTTTGGGCCTCTTGGGGGCCTCCTGGGGCCTCTTGGCGGCTCCTTGGGGGCTTCTTGGGGGCCTCTTGGGGCCTCTTGGGCGCCTCTTGGGGCCTTCTGGGGCCGTCTTGGGGTGGAAGGCTCGGATTGTCGGTTGGGGCTCCCCCTCTTGGGCCTCTCTTGGGGCCGTCTTGGGGCCCTCTTGGGCTGTCTTGGGGGCCTCTTGGGCCGTCTTGGGGCCCTCGTGGGCCGACTTGGGCGCCTCTTGGGGGTCTCTTGGGCCATCTTGGGGCGGTCTTGGGGGGCTCTTGGACCGTCTTCAACGTTGTGAAGGCGGACAAGTCGTATATGACAAAAATGTACGTTTGCCCATAGGAATTTGACGATTTTGGCCTCTTGGGCCCCTCTTAGGACTGCTCTTGGAGGGCTGTTGTGCCCTCTTGGAGGCTTCTTGGGCCGTCTTGGGGCGATCTTGGGCTTCTTTGGCCGATCTTTGGGCGATTCGGGGCCCTCTTGGGCCGACTTGGGGGCTGCTTGGGGCCCTCTTGGCCCGTTTTGGGGCCCTGGTGGGCCCGATACAGTCATGCGACAAGCTGCGCCGGCACGCGACAAGCCCCAGGAGATTTTGGAATTTGGGCCCTGGTCCTTTAAAGACTCCTCAGGAGGAGGACGGAGGCTCAAGGGATGAGGCACACGACCTGAGGACACGCCCACTCCGTGCCCGAGGCGCGATGGCGGATTCCTTTTCCCTCAGCGTTCGTGGCTGAAAACCATCAGCAACAACACGGGCCTCCCCGACACGAACGCCACTAGCGCCAGCCAGAGGAACCAGAATTCTTCCCGTTGCCGCCGCCAGCGGCAATCGTGACACTACCGCCAGTGCCATCAGCGGCACCAGCAGCATCGCCGCCAGCGCCACCACCACCACCGCGAACAGCACCATCTGCGACAGCAGCGGCATCACAAGGACCAGCGCCAGCAGTAGGGCCACCATTAGCACCAGCAGCACCGCCGCGATCACCAGCACCAACAACACCGTTGGCAGCAGCGACGCCGCCAGCAGCAGCGCGCGCACCACCACCACGACGCAATGGCGGGCCCACAAGAGAAGGACGACGTGAAGCCTTAGCAACATACTCGCCAGAACCACCATCAGAATTCGCATGCGCTCTCAGCGCCGTAGCGGACTTTTTGATGCCATCCGCGTGTGAATACGATCCCTCGGGTTGGTCTGCGCTGTCTGGCGGACACCCGCTTCCTTTCCACTTCTGTTTCGCGCCACAGCAATAATGCGAGAGTGAAGGGAGAAAAGGGGAGGTGGCGGCGGAGGGGGCAAGGGGCTGCGCGGTGGGCGGAGGCAGGGGGAGGGCCAGCACGGGAGCGTGCACGGGGCAGACCAGGCGAAGTGGCCAATTTGGCGCCATGGAAAGGGCGCGGCGGTCGACGGGCACACGTAGGACGATAAGGAGAGAGGGTGGCAGAACAGCAAGTCCAAGGCTGCCCCTCGCAGACAATTTGGCTTCACTCGTGCGGCCTGATCCCGCATCGAGGTGTCTCCATGTCGACGCGGTAGCGGGCCGTGGGCCGAGGCGACCGAACTGCTCCGAACGCTGGGCGGAAAGGCGTTCCAAACATCTTGGAACGCCTCCCCGAAAGCCGTTCCATGCACCCTTTCGACGGCCCACCTTCTGGATGGCCCTGTTCGCCCCGCCTAATAGTGACCCCCCCCCGGTTTTCCGGAGGGGGGGTCATTTGAATTCGAGTGACCCCCCCAGGTTTTCTGGGCGGGCGGGGGGGGTTCGAACCGGTAGTAGGGGGAAAGGGGGGGAGGTTTTAGGGAGGGCGGGGGGTTGCCGGGGGGGAGAGGGGGGGGGATGCAGGGGGGTTTCCAGCAGGGGGGGGGGGTATTTCCGGAGGGCGGGGGAGACCTCCGGGTTCCGGAGGAAGAGGGAGGGGAATTTTCCAAAGTAAAGCGGCGGATCACGCTCTCTCATGAGAGCGCGGACGTAGCGTAGCTTGCGCGTGATCGTAGCCCAGGGAGAGCGGACGCAGCGTAACTTCGGAGAGAGATCGTGGCCTCGGGGAGCGCGGTCCCGTCGTAATGGCTTCGTTCATGGGTCCGCCGTGCGTTGCCCCTTTCTGATTCCACGGTGTCTGGGGGGGAAGAGCGGGGGGGGCAAGTCGCGTTTTGTGGAGCAGAAAGAAAAAGGGCTTGCCTGGGAGCGCGGTCCCGTGGCACGTTCCCTGACACGTTCCCTGGCACGTCCCCTGGCGCGTCGCCTAGCACGATCCACCGCACGTTCCGTGACGCGTCCCGTGGCGAGTCCCCACGGCACGTCGCGCGGCGCGTCCCCTGGCACGTCTCGTGGCACGTCCACTGCCACGTTTCGTGGCGCGTCCCCTTGGCACGTCTTGCGGTGCGTCCCCATGGTGCGTCCCCACGGTGCATCTCCTGGCACGTCCGCTGGCGCGTCCCCTGGCACGCCTTCCTGGCACTGCCCAATCGCATATGCAATTGAGGTCCTCAGAAACGGTTCCATGCCTCACCGTTCTCAGTCCCTTTCCGGATTCGTGGGTCGATCATGTTCTTGTGACAGGGATGGTAGTTTTGCGCGAAGCAGGCAATATGAGGGCATCCCCGCAGCCCTGGTCAAAACAAACAAGAAGTGTTCGCGGGGCCTACGAGTATGGCCCAAGATGTTGCCCCCAAGAGTGCTTCGTATTGCTTTTTTGACATGGAGGGGGGGCATTGGCTCTGTTTGGCTGCTGGCCGCCTGAACAAGAGGGTGCGCTTATTGAAAGAAAACCGTGATAAACCCTTCCCCGAAGGGAAACATGGAGTTGAAAGTCTCGAAACCACTCGCACCCTCAAGGGCTGGTGGCAGTTTCTCCCCAGCCCCGGAGATTATGGACCTCGTTGTGATGCCTCCAAAGAAAGCGATTAGAGGTTCGTTATTCCAGATTGATAATAGTACGCGCGGGGGGGGTCGTTCCTTCCAATCAACCCCGGCTCGCATAGTGAACCTGAGTTTTCATTCTAGAATGATAATCATGGAGCCAGGGGGTCACCGAGAGCGCTGCCATGCTAGAATGAAGTGAGGTGCATCATGTCGACTGCACTTAAGAGCCACCCTGCCCGAAAGTGACCCTGGTTCAAGCCCACTGGGGCCCCCCATTCGCCGAACGCGATGCGATAGTAGCGTCTTGCGCGCTTCGGCTTGGCCCCCTTCCAACGGTTCCCCGAAAGCCGCGCACCAAAGGTCACACTTGCCCAGGGTCACTTCTTGCGTGTGGCCGATCATTGCAAGATTCCAACCTAGGTTTATGTCGGGCGCGTCCCCCTACAAGGAGATCTTCGACGAAAAACTAAAAGTATTCTAAAAATACTCCAAAAAGGTGAATAGATATTAAAAAATAGTCCCCAGACTATTCTTGTACTATTTTTAATTTTTGTGGGGTATTTTTAATTTTTCGTCGACGATCCCCCTGTAGGGGGACAGGCCCGACTTAAACCTAGGTTTGTCGTGCCTAGATCGTAGATCCACGGTCGCCGAGGATTTCGGGGCTGTCCTCCGTCCGACAGACCACCGGTCTGGGGGCGTCCCGTGGGGCATCCCGTGTGGGCCCCCCCGAAATGCCCCAAGAGAGGTCCAAGCGATTCCAAGAGGGCCCAAGAGACTCCAAGGTGATCCCCAGGCGGGTCCAGAAGGTCCAATTAGGGCGCGACAAGGTGCCCCCGGCCCAGGAGGGCCCCAGCGGCCAGACGCGCATGCTGGCTCGCTGAGAGCACAGACCCTTGACGTCATATTTTTCGCAACGTGGACATCTGGAGGTCTCGATCCGTTCCCTGGGACGGGCTTCTCAGCCTGAGTCGTCTGTTGACGGTCTTGGGGCTCGGCGAGCCCTCCAGAGGCTGAAATCGGTCAAACACCGTCCGTCGTGATTTGTTCATGTTGCGAGGGGGACTGAAGAAGGCTCACGCGCGCAGCCCAGTGACCTCGAGAGAGGACCTTCGGATAGTGGAGAAGCTCTCCCCGACCAGCGACACGTGGTTCGAGGACTCGAGCCACCGCCTGCACACCATGAGCGAGAGCCAGGCGCGCGAGGTCAGCACGAAGCTGCGCGAGGATCGGGGGCATCCTTAGGGGGGGGCCTGCTGCTTTTCTTCATCTTTCTCTTTGTCACTAGCCTTTTGCTGCATCGTCTGCGTATATGCCGTAATCGGTTCAGAATGCAGGAGGATGCAGAAGGGGATATGCTCAGGAGGGGAGCATCGGCCCCAAATCGCCCATGGATCGCCGAAAGGGGCCCGATGGCCCACCCCCGCCCAGCAACGCGCGGGTCCGCTGCCGGGGGCCTATCGCCGATCTCTCGCCGATCTCTCTGCGATGCATCGCCGATTCCAGGCCGATGGTCCCCTTCCCAGGGTCAATGTCGGTTCTGGCTGGCCCGAGCTGGTTCGATTTCGTTGTTCCAGCGGTCCAATGCGGTCCCATGCCATGCTTACAAGACGCAGTTGCGTATCTTTGCGCAGCCGATCCACTTCGAGTCGACGTCGTGCCGATGCAGTCTGATCCGACACAGGGTCCGACCCGATCCAGCTGTCCGATTCGATACCGACTGGTCATGCCCCTGAGCCTGTACCCCCGTTCGGTATCGGTTAACCGATGTTCCTTCCCCCTCCAGACGTTGCCCCTCCTCCTCCTCCTCCTCCTCCTCCTCCTCCTCCTCCTCCTCCTCCTCCTCCTCCTCCTCCTCCTCGTCCCCCCCCTCCTCCTCGGAGGAAGTGGAGAGTCTGAAGGCGGACCTGGAGCGCGTGAAGAGCGAGGCGGAGAAGCTCAGGCCGCCGTGGGGCGAGCGGGGTCCCCAGACCCCCCCTCGGAGGTCATGACAACGATACGACCCTACACTTCCAAGGCTCCCAGGATGCCAGAATGTCCTGAATGTCGCCATTGCTCCGCACCGGCTGCAAAGACGAGGGCCTCCAGATGATCTGGGAGTCCTGGCGCAGATCCTGCGCCAGTATGACATCACGGCCCGGCGCAGTCCACGAGACGGGCGTCGGCCGGCGTGGGCCCTCTGCAAAAGCGCGCGGGGCGCCCGCCGGGCGCCCACGGGCGGGCCCCGTTTTGCAGCTCTGCCGCGGCCTGCGCTTTTTCTCGCGTGCTCGAGAATCGGGCCCCAGGGGCCGTCTCCGACCGAGGCGGCCTGAAGAATCCCTTGAGAATGATGGGCGAATCTGCCACCACCACTGCCAGATTTAGGACGGGGGAGAGGGGAGGACGAGGAGGTCCTCCTCCCCCTCCTCCTCCGCCTCCTCCTCCTCCTCCTCCTCCGCCTCCTCATCCTCCTCCTCCTCCTCCTCCCTCTCCTGCCTATGGCAGTGGTGGTGGAAAGTGGGCCCATCAGAGAAAGATGGGGTCTAGGGCCCCAGTCGCTATTTGTCGCGAGTTTGCCATGTTTGCGCAACGTCGGAGTTCGGCGACCAAGCGGAACCTCGGGGAACCAACCAAGCGCAGGGCGCCCACGAAGCGTCCACGAGCGCCCACCAAGTGGACGCCAGCCAAAACCCCTGGAAACCTAAACAGTTCCGTAGGTTGAAATGTAAGAACCTGTGGGTCAAGTTCTCTTTGGGCTTGGCATCGCTCGGACGTGAGGGTTTGTTGCTGGCGAGGACCATCGAGGAGCATCATGGACCATCAGGCAAAACAAGCACGCACGAAGCCGAAACATGCACGGGGAATTAACGTCCGAGCGATGGCAAGTGGGAGCCAAAACATGTTCGCCAGCGTGGACCCCAAACACCAAGGTGTGCCATTGCGGATGTGTAAGCCGTCCTTTGTGAAGGTGTGGTAGATCATTCAGAACTTAGAGTTGTCAACCCTACTGCTCGCGCAATCATCCCACCCACCTCTCGCAACTTGATTGCGGCGACGAGTGCGATGACTGCTTCGCGGTGGCTGGCCCGTCTCTGCGGCCGCGTTGGCGCGCGCATGTTCGCGGGCACAGCGGCCAGCTAGTTTGGCACACAACCGACCGCGGTGGCGCTCTCCGATGGGGACTCCCTAGCGCGAGCACTTCACTGCGAGTCGGTGAGCCGGGCGGGCGCAGTATCTCGATGACGACGTCAATGGCGGAAACGATGATGACGGCAGCGATGATGGTGGCGATGATGACGGTGCCGACGGCAAAGCCAATGACGGCGCCGATGCCGGTCACGCCGATGACGATGATGGTTCCACATGTCGGTGAAAAAGGTTTTGGAAGGATTTGACATGCGCGCGCGGCCGACGCGCTCGAGTGGCCCGCAAGGATCGTGCCACCCCAGCAAGCTCGCAAGGGCGTTCGGATATGACTTCGACATGCGCGCGCGAGAGGCACGCTTGGTCGCCTGTGATGAACATGTTGGGAAAACAATGCTGGCTTTCTTGAGACTTCGCAGGAATGCGCGCAGATCTGTTGAAAAGTCGTGTCGGAAACAATGGCAATTACTTGTTTCGAGAACGTCGATCTGGAAACCACCACGAAAGTAATGAACTGCAGATCGAACACATCTGGTAAAGTACACATGTGCGTTTCCTGTGGGTGTCTCGAGCGAAAAGCTTGTTTTGCAAACTTTGCTGAAGATCTCTCGAGCGAAACCGCTGTCTTCTCTGAACTATTGTTCCTCTCCTGGGGACCAGGATTCAAAGGATGTCTGAGGCAGCATGCTTGTTTTCACTTGCCCAGGTCGCCCAGGAAGGTATCTAACATGGTTGCCCCCTGACGGGACACTTACTTTCACGTGTCCAGGCCACCAAGAGGTGTATTCAATTTGGTGGGCCCGAGCTGGAACCACGTGTTTCTACGTGTCCAGGCCACCCAGTGGGGTATCTAACGTGGTGGCATCGAGCTGGAACCACGTGCTTATGCGTGCCCAGGCCACCCAGAGGGGTACCTAAGATGGTTGCCCCGAGCTGGAAACACGTGTTTTACGTGTGCGTGCAACCCACGGGGGGGGGATATCTAACATGTGGTCGCTTGGGGCCCCCCAACGTGGGGGGGGACAGGAGCCAGGCAACAGCAATCCATCAACACCACGTGCGTAAAAACTCAGCACAGTTGCATCGGCTGGTGATTTTCTAGATTTCCTACACTGGGATATCTAACATGGTGGTCCCGAGCTGGAACCACGTGATTGCAAGTGACCAGGCCACCCAGGAAGATATCTGGCATGGTGGTCCCGAGCTGGAGCCACGTGCTTTACGCGTCCAGGCCATTCAGGGTGGTATCTAACATGGTTGCCCCGAGCTAGAACCATGGCTTCTCACGTGTCCAGGCCACCCAGGGGGTACCTAACATGGTCGTCTTGAGCTGGAACCAAACGTTTTCACGCGTCCAGACCACCCAGGGGGATATCTAACATTGTGGCCCTGGGCTGGGACAGGGACCACGTGTTTTGCGTCTACAGGCCACCCAGACGGGTATCTAACATGCTGGTCCCTAGCTGGAGCCACGTTGTTTTACGTGTCCAGCACCCCAGGGGTGGGTGTCTAAGATGGTTGCGTCTTGCCCCGGGCTGGAACCATATGTTTACTAGTGTCCAGGCGACAAAGAAAGGTATCCTATATGGTGGCCCGAGGCTGGAACCACGTGATTTCACATGCCAGGGCCACCCAGATGGGTATTTAACATGATGGCACCGAGCTGGAATCACATGTTTGCTTGTGCCCAGGCCGCCCAGAGGGGTATCTAACATGGTTGTCCCGAGCTGGAACCAAGCCTTCACGCACCCAGGTTACACAGGGATATGTCCAACATGTGGCCGCCTGGCGTTAGCTCTGCGCAACTTGTGAGGGTGTCTCGAGCGAGGGCTGCGGAACTGTCCCGCGCTGGAACCGCGTGAAATTCACGTGTCCAGGCCACCCAAGGGGATACCGAACATGGCGGCCCCGATCTGTACCCACGTGTTTTACGTGTCCAGGCAATCCAGGAGGGTATCTCACATGGTGGTCCCGAGCTGGAACCACGTGTTGTGCGTGACCAGGCCGCCAAGGAGGGGATATCCAAGATTTTCTTGTCCCTCGCTAAAACCATGTGTTTTCAAGTGCCCAGGCCACTCAGGTAGATATCTGGCATGGTGGTCTGTGGCTGGAAACATGTGTTTTCACGTGCCCAAGCCACCCAGAGGGGTATCTATGTGGTGGCACCCGGCTTGAAAAACGTGCATGCACGTGCCCAAGCCACCCAGAAGGGGTATCTAACATGGTTGCCCCGAGCTGGAAACACGTGTTTTTGCGTGCGCGGGCCACCCAATGGGGGTATCTAACATGTGGTCGCCGGGGCGCCCCCAACCAACGTGGCGGGACCCAGACAAAACGAAAAACTTGACAGCAGATGTGTAATAACCTGACACAGCTTTCTCGGCTGTGAACTTCCTGATTTAACAGTCACAGTGGGGTAACTAACATGGTGGTCTCGAGCTGAAACCAATGTTCTCACGTATCCAGGCCAGCCAGGTGGATATCTGACATGGTGGTCCCGAGCTGGAGCTCAGTGTTTTTACGTGTCCAGGCCACGCAGGGCGGTATCTAACATGGTTGCCCCGCGCTGGAACCAAGTGGTTTCACGTGTCCAGGCTGCCCAGGCTGCACAGGGAGATATCCAACATGTCTTCGTCTGGCTCTAGGTCTGAGCAACTTGTGAGGGCGTCTCGAGCGAGGTCTGCGGAACTGAATCGGATCTTGAGCTCGAGCTGGTCGAGCGCACCGCGCGTTTCGACTGCAACCAGCCCGAGCAATGCGTTCAGACAGTTCGAGCTTAAGATCCAAATCAGTTCGGTCAGGATTGTGACGCCACGGACGGCTTGACCCACAATGCATTAGCGCATGGCACAATTTCACGCGGCATGTCCCCTGGCGCGTCCCCTGGCATTTCCACTGGCACGTTCCGTGGCGCGTCCTTGGCACGTCACGGAGCGGCGCGGCACAGCGCAGAGCAGCACAACACAACCATTGGCACAATACCATCACCAACGATACGCTCAGCATTGCCATTGTCCATCGCCCGATTGAGGTGCTCGGAAACGTTCCCATGCATCGGTGTTCTAAATCCCTTTCTGGTGTCATGGGTCGGCGTTGCTCAAAAAGCAAAAACGATGTGGTATGAGATGTGGAGTGCAGGCTACGTGGCGCAATATGTGGAATGGAGTATGTGTGTGGTGTGAGCTAGGCGGTGCAAGCAACGTGGTGCAATACCTGTGGTAAGCTACGTGGTGCAACCTATGTTGTGTAAACTGCGCGGTGCAATTTAGGTGGTGCAAGTAATTTTGTCCAACACTTGGGTTGTTTGAGGGAGTTTCTGTGGAACTCACGTCATCCTCACCCCCGGCGCGAAGAGCACGAGTCCAGAGCGGCCTCCGGCACCGTTTCCGGACGGATCCGGACGGATCCGCTGGATCCGGGGACGAATCCCAAACCGGCGCCCTCGCCTGAGACATCCCCGCAAAACCGGCCCCGGGGGAGGTGCCCAGAGGAGCCCAGAGCGGCCTCTGGCACCGTTTCCGGACGGATCCGCTGGATCCGCTGGATCCGGGGACGAATCCCAAACCGGCGCCCTCGCCTGAGACATCCCGCAAAACCGGCCCCGGGGGGGTGCCCAGAGGAGCCCAGAGCGGCCTCCGGCACCGTTTCCGGACGGACGGAGATCCGCTGGATCCGCTGGATCCGGGACGAATCCCAAACCGGCGCCCTCGCCTGAGACATCCTCACAAAACCGGCCCCGGGGGAGGTGCCCAGAGGAGCCCAGAGCGGCCTCCGGCACCGTTTCCGGACGGATCCGGATCCGCTGGATCCGCCG